TGCATAAACCTTTGAGAAGAAACAGACCACACTTAGAGTACTCTTTTGGTAGCCTTGGCTCTGACTTTGTAAGTTTTTTTATTGAAGTATAGTTAATTTACAATATTATATTAGTTTCAGGCACATAAGACAGTGTTTCAAAATTTTTAGATTATACTCCATTTAACGTTATTATAAAACACTGGCTATATTCCTTGTGATGTACAACATACCCTTGTAGCTTATTTATTTTATGCATAGTAGTTTGTACCTCTTAATCTGACTTTGTAACTTTATTAACTATTCCTGCTCAGGAACAGAATCAGATGGATGAATAAGTATGATGGGCATACCTAATGTAGAACATTTTTCTGGCCTATCTACCTTACTATAATTTTCATGCTTAAAAAGAACATCAACTTGTATAAGCATGATAATTTGAAAAACTCAAATATAATAAATAACCTCCCTACATTCTGGAACTTGCTGGTGATGTGTTAAGTGAACTATTTCCAGCACATCACCGTTCATGAAATATTCCTTCTCTTCGAGTCTCATCAACTTTAGCTGCAAAACTCTTTTTCAAATATCTTATAAAAATAAATATAAACATTTAATAACGTTATTGGCCTCTAATTCTTAATATCACTTTTCTTTCTCTTAGAGTCTATGCATCCTGCTTCTGGACAACTTTCACATTTTACAATCTTGCCACTGGAAACAGCACTGAAGGTGGCTCGGGCACTCCTCAAATCTAGCTGAGCTGAGCCGCTCAGCCTTTCACTCCTGTGGCCTACCTTCTTCAGGATGACCATGCCATCCAATTCTTGATCTATGACGGCTACCCAGAACTCATCTGCTTCTTCATCCTTCGATGGGCATCTTGAAATAAACTCACATTCTCCCCTTTTATTATTTATTTTTTTAATTTATTTATTTTTTTGCAGTATGCGGGCCTCTCACTGCCGTGGCCTCTCCCGCTGCGGAGCACAGGCTCCGGACGCGCAGGCTCAGCAGCCATGGCTCATGGGCCCAGCCGCTCCGCGGCATGTGGGATCTTCCCAGACCGGGGCACGAACCCGTGTCCCCTGCATCGGCAGGCGGACTCTCAACCACTGCGCCACCAGGGAAGCCCTCCCCTTTTATTTTTTACCCTTGAAACAATTCCATTGAAAGATTCCTTGACTATCCACACTTTCCTATTCAGATGGCCTGTTCTTTATTCCAAGTTAAATCAACAAGCATTTTCCTTGTGACATATGGTTCTTGCTTTACTTTCTCCTGTCAATCATTTTCACCAGCAACATAAATTTCTTACAGCACATTCGCCCAACACATATCCACCAGAATACAAGAGCAGCATCACCTAAAAAGTCCTAACTGTCTCTTGGAGGAATTAATGCTTTAGTTGAGATGCTGAAGCACCAAATTACCCCAGGCTCCCAGGACTTTACAAAATAAGGAGGGATCCAATAATAAACTGTGATCCAATTAATACTTAGAAACTGCCTTATAGATTCTTAACCAAACTATACACCCACCAAGAAGGACCTCGAAGAAGAAAATCTAATTCCTACCTTTAAAAATCAGGAGGAAAAGACAGATGAGCAACAAAAGTGACAATATAATGTGGTAAGTGCATCAATAGATATTAGATGTATGTATGTATCAATAGATGTATGCATGCATTCATTCATTTCCTGATTACCTGCTCTGTGCCGATTAGAAGGCATACAGTGGTTAACAAGATGAGCCAGAACTTTGCCCTCACAGAGTTTACATTCCAATGGTAGGTGGGGTTGGTAATAGGCTAAATGCTTTCAAAGTTTTTAATGAATAAGGTTAGTGAAATATAAATGAGACAAAATAAGTTGTGATATTGGGCAGTGTCTAAAATAGTAGTGAAAGGTGACAACTGGCCTGAGAGATGATAAGGAATAAACCAAGTAAAAAGTTATCCCACGGGACTTCCCTGGTGGCACAGTGGATAGGACTCCAAGCTCCCAATGCAGGGGGCCCAGGTTCGATCCCTGGTGAGGGAACTAGATCCCACATGCGTGCCACAATTAAGGAGCCCGCCTGCCGCAACTAAGACCCAGTGCAACCAAATAAATAAATATTAAAAAAAATTTTTTTTTAAGTTATCCCAGGCCTAAGGACGACAAAACCCAGTAGCCTGAGGCAGTCACCAACTTTCCAGGAATCAGCTTAGTGTGTCCAGAGCAGACACTGTACTTGAAATGTACAATAAAGGGAGAGTGGAAAGAGATAAAGTGAGAAAGGCAGACAGAGGCCAGATCCTTTGGGGCACAGTAGGTCTAGTGTGGAGTCGGAAACAACTGGTTTCAGTGGGGGAAGCGACATGATTTGCTCTGATTCACATTTTTTTTTTTTTTTTTTAAGAAATCCCTTTGGCTGCTGTATGGATAAAAGATCAGAGCAGAAGCAAGCAGGCTAGTTAAGAGGCTTCTGGAGTAAGAAATGAAAATCGATGGTAGCTTGGATGAGACGGAGATGGAGAGAAGTGAATGGATACAGAACATGGATATATCTGCAGCAGGTTGACAAGACTTACTGACTGGTAGGGAATGCGATGTGGGTTTAAATGAAAACAGTGGTACCACAGAGAAGAGAGTAGCTCAACTGTACCTGGGAGGATAGAGAAATAGGTCACAGAACACATTCTCAGAGAGGTGACATTTAAGCAGGTATGAAAAAATACAACACAAGTGTTGGTGAGGATGTGGAGAAACTGAAACATTGGCTGTTGCTGGCGGGAATGTAAAATGGTGCAGCTGCTATGGAAAATGGTATGGCAGTTACTCAAAAATATTAAACATATAATATGATCAAGCAATTCCACTTCTGGATTTACACCCATAAGAACTGAAAGCAAGGACTTCAACAGATATTTGTAGACATACCATGTTCACAGCAGCATTTTTCACAACAGTCTAAAGATGGAAGCATGCAAGTATCCATCAGGGGACGAATGGATAAACAAAATGTGGTACATACATTCAACGGAATAGTATTCAGTCTTAAAAAGGAAAGCAACTCCCACACATGCTACAATATGGATGAACCTTAAAACATTATACTAAGTGAAATACATCAGTCACAAAAGGATAAATATCGTATGATTCCACTTGTATAAAGTACCTAGGATAGTCAAATTCACAGAGACGGAAAACAGAATGGTGGTTGCCAGGGGTTAGAGAGTTTTTTAAATGTTTAATGGGTTTTTAGTGTTTGTTTAATGGGTATAAACTTTCAGTTCTGCAAGATGAAAAGAGTTCTGGAGATAGTGGTGATGGTTTCACAACAATGTGAATGACTTAATGCCACTAAACTGTACACTTAAAAATGATTAAGATGGTAAATTTTATGTTATTTGTATTTCACCACAATTTTTTTAAAAAGAGAGAGGAAAAGAAAAGCAGGTGGGAGTTCTCCAGGCAGCCATGAGAACGGAATAGAATTCCAGGTAGCAGCAGCAGCATGTGTAAAGACATGGAGAGAGTAAGGTATGAACTGTGACATGTATGATTTATTTTTCAGTGGGACATTTAGAATATTAACATCATCATTACTATTCATTTAAAATCCTGATGCAAAATTCTGGCTTCATCAGATTCTGAAAAGCCTGGATCTCTTTATAACACGTGCCAGGAAGAGAAAGTAGTAGTTCATTTACTTAATAACTAGTTATTGACTCCTATATGTGCCAGGCAGGACAAGGAATAACTCTGTCTGCCTAGATGTCAGTCTAGTGGTGAAGACTCACATTCAGGCCAAGGTTACAGAATTATGAAGCCTCAATATGGATAAGTGCAGTGAAGGAAAAGTACTTGTGCAATGAAACTGGTTCTAACAAGGGAGACTAACTTACCTGGAACGGAAGTGAGGAAAAAAACTCCCTGAGGGAAAGACATTTAGAGTCTGTCATACAGAGTGAAGTAAGTCAGAAAGAGAAAGACAAATACCGTATGCTAACACATATATATGGAATTTAAGGAAAAAAATGTCATGAAGAACCTAGGGGTAAGACGGGAATAGAGACACAGACCTACTAGAGAATGGACTTGAGGATATGGGGAGGGGCAAGGGTAAGCTGTGACAAAGTAAGAAAGTGGCATGGACATATATACACTACCAAACGTAAAACAGATAACTAGTGGGAAGCAGCCGCATAGCACAGGGAGATCAGCTCCGTGCTTTGTGACCACCTAGAGGGGTGGGATACGGAGGGTGGGAGGGAGGGAGGGAGGGAGACGCAAGAGGAAAGAGATATGGGAACATATGTATATGTAAAACTGATTCACTTTGTTATAAAGCAGAAACCAACACACCACTGTAAAGCAATTATACTCCAATAAAGATGTAAAAAAAAAAAAAAGAAATTAACACCTGACCGAAGGGTAGGATTGACACAGACGGAAACCCAGTCTGGGACCCGTGCCGGCCAATAAGACAAAGGGGAACACTGATAAACAAAAAGAGCAAATGTGATATTCTATTGCAGCGCATAACATGTTTACCAACGCTCAAAACTGCCCAACTTAGCCTTCCATAAGCTGGAATCACAGAAACTATAAACCTATTGTATATTAGGTTTGCCAATTGGCTCCCATCGTGTTTTCTGGACTTCCTATCTAATGGGGAAATAATCTTCTTAAACTCTTGCATCCAAAACTCAAAAGGTGTAAATATCCCTCTCTCTTTCTAACACGGCCGAAGTTTCTCGTCGGGAACACAGCCTGAAGAGTGAGGCCTTACTCTGGGAAGGAGCGAATACTCCTGGAAAGATGGAACCTATCACAGCTGTAGGGGATCTCAAAGGCACCGGGAGTGGGAGGCAGCGCCGCCCTCCCCCTCCCGCGCTGGGTGCAGGTGTGAGGCAGGTTGGGGGCGCGCGGCCGCAGGGGGCACAGAACCCCCAGCTCCGACGCATCTGCAGCCCCATCCGCGGTCACACGGCCCGTGACCCCCAAGGCTCCCGCGGCCGCGGCCCAGCTCACCCTTCCCCTTGGTCAGGATGTAGTTGAGCGGCATCCGCGGGCGGTCGCTGAAGACCTCGGCCTGCTGCACCAGCGCCTCGCGCACGCTGTGGAAGTCGTTGAGGACCACCACCAGGTAGTGGCCGATGAAGAAGCTGTAGATGTTGCCGTACACACGGGCCAGGTCTGCCAGGAGCAACTGCACGCCCAGGCCCGAGGTATTCAACTCTCCGGTCCTTGCCCGCCGGTACGGCCAGCTCTTCCGTCGGAGGAAAGGCGGCAGCAGCACGAAGCCGAAGTTGCCCACCACGGGCCAGGGCGTGGGCCCGGGGGGGATGCCCCGCTTCGGGCGCCGCCACAGCCAGCTCCAGCCCAGCAGCGCGGCGAGAACGAGAAGCAGCAGCGCGCCGCCCGTGGGGTCCAGCCGCAGCAGCCCCGGGGGCGCGTGCAGAAGGCGCAGAGGCCAGGGGGAGTCCTCGGCGGGGGCCCGGGGCAGCCCGGCGGAAGCCATGGCCTGCGCGCCGGAGTCCTCAGCCCCGGGATGCTGCCGCTATCCCCAGGAGAGCACACGCAGATACAGGTGCTCGGCCCCAAGGCCAACTCCCCTGGAAGCCCGGGGGCGGGGAGGAGAGCGGCGGAGGCCGCTCCGGATTGGCTGCGCCCACAGCTTCCTCCCCAGCCCCTCCAATCAGCGACGCCCGAGAAGCAACGGGGACGCGCTCGCAACCAGGCTGTGGCGGTCCGCGGACCAGGCTGGGCAAGCTGTCTGGAAGTTGGCCGCCCAATCCGGGTCGCGCCCCTCCGCTGGGTCAGACTTGGCTGTGACCGCCCCTGAAAAATAAAGATGCTCGCACCACACCCTTACGCTCTGATTGGTTACCGGATTTCCTGTGTTATTTGTCAGTTGAGTGCTTAAACCGTGCCAGGTCAACAGGCCCCTCGTATGACTCAGCCTCAACACCAGCGCGTCTACCCTGAGCTGGGCGAGGGGGGTCCCCGCCCTATCTCCTGGTAGCAAAAAGACAGGGTTACTGCTTTATCCAAATCGGGATTCGGAGGAAGAAATGACCCTTTCCTCCACCCACTGACAGCAGGATGATGGAAATGCAATGTGTAGAATTTGTAGATGTAGGTGGCCAACGCTCCGGAGAAAGGATGGGTGGGGAATAGTGGGGTGGGTGGGGTGATGGAGTAAAGCTCTTATAACTTGGCATACACGGGAATATCCCTTTTATGTGGAGAGTGAAAGTTCAGCGTCCGTTTCAGCGTGTGGCCTGGGTAAAGCCGAAGACCTAATCCAGAAATTTGCTTGGAGGATTTAAGTAGCTAATAATATAAAAAGAAAATCAATCGGGTGAGGAGTGGGTCACAATATCATTATAACTATGCTGAGGTTGAGATTTTAAGTGAGAATTGTGGAATGCTTTCAATACGAAGTCCTTTAATTTTCCGTAATTATGGCTCGTAGGCACTACTTCCCTTTTCTGTCTTCTACAGGCTAAATCCTCTGGTTTCTTTTATGTTAGGTTGACACAGAATTGTCGATACTAGACCATTTTCAGTCTGCTAAAAGGCCAGTCTCGTATAAATCAACGTAACTGATGATAATGAACAAATGTTTCCCATTTTCTGATCCTTTTTATTCTTTATTTCACATCTACTCTGTTCTAATACTATTTTTGCCATGCTCTTCATAAATTATTTTAAGCTTCCCCAAAAAACACACCTCTTATCTTCTATAAGTAACAATTGTTAGATTACTTTTCTCTTTTTTTTTCAATTTAGAGAATTTAATAAATTTTACCACTTGTTTGCACAGATGATCTTCAATATGTCATCTGATTCTCCTCATAGCCTGTTCTCCAAAATAGTAGCCACTAACATCTTTCCTTACAAGCAACTTAAATTCACAAGTGATTTTAAAATAGTTGAACATGTGACTAATTTAACGACCTTAACAGACACCCTCTTATACAGGATATAATTACATTCACACTGTTTTCCTAAGTAATTCTCTTATTTAGGCTAACAGCTCTGTGATGCAGACAGGAAGTATTATAGGCTGAGTTGTGTTCCCCCAAAATTCATATGTTGAAGTCCTAACCCCCAGTACCTCAGAATGAGACTGTTTGGAGATAGGGTCTTTAAAGAGGTAAAGTAAAATGAGGTCATATAAGTGGACTGTAATCCAATATCACTGGTGTCCTTTTAAGAAGAAGAGATTAGGACATGGACAGACACAGAGGGAAGCCAACATGAAAACACAGGGAGAAGATGGCCATCTACAAGACAGGGAGAGAGTCCTCGGAAGAGATCAGCCCTACCAACACCTTGATCTTAAGAGTTCTAGCCTCCAGAACTGTGAGGAAATAAGTCTGTAGTACTTTGTTATGGCAGCCCTCGCAAATAGACGAAGCTACATTGTTCATAATACATACTATGGATAAACTATTTTAAACATGAAACCACATAGCTCATTCAGTGCTTCTTAGGGATGAATTTCCCCAAATGATATTCAGGGCTTTCTTGCCAGAAAAAGGAATACTTTCTGCTCCATCCTTCCTATTTTAAATAGATGAATAATATAATAATCAGTAGCAGTAAAGGAAGAGAACACTAAAAGATCTTTGGGTTGGGGAGAGAGGGAAAAGAGGACAAGAAGGGCATTAATGAAAACATTTTAAAATAGAATCCCCAAAGACAATTTTAAACCACTTGCTTTCTCACTGGAATCCTTCTTGCTGTACATGGATTTCAGCCAGAATTGTTGGTAACAGTACAGATAACAGAATTGTTGGTAACAGTACAAATAGTACAGATATCCAAAATATCTGTACTATTATTTTGTTATCAAGAGTGGTGTTGGGCTTCCCTGGTGGTGCAGTAGTTAAGAATCCGCCTGCCATTGCAGGGAACACGCGTTCCAGCCCTGGTCCAGGAAGATCCCACATGCCGCGGAGCAACTAAGCCTGTGAGCCATAACTACTGAACCCACATGCCACAACTACAGAAGCCCGCAGGAATAGAGCCCGTGCTCCGCAACAAGAGAAGCCACCACAATGAGAAGCCCGCTCACCACAACGAAGAGTAGCCCCCGCTTGCCGCAACTAGAGAAAGCCCGCACGCGGCAACGAAGACCCAACGCAGCCAAAAAATATATATATAAAAAATTTTTTAAAAAAAGAGTGGCGTTAAAAGAGAGAGGTGTTAAATTACTGTTTGTAAAACTACAATTGTTCAGTTGGCTGGTAATTCCCTGGGAGGTGAATGCTACACAGTATATCCATCCAGAGTCAGTGAGCATGAACAGAGAGGGCTTATGGCTTGAGAAGAGTTTTCAAAATGCTAATGAGAAGAGAAAGTTGAAATGCTAATTATTTATTTAGTGGCACAACTCCACTAGCCATTTATAAATGAATCCCTTGGGCTTCCCTGGTGGCGCAGTGGTTGAGAGTCTGCCTGCCGATATAGGGGACACGGGTTCGTGCCCCGGTCCGGGAAGATGCCACATGCCGCGGAGCGGCTGGGACCGTGAGCCATGGCCGTTGAGCCTGCACGTGCAGAGCCTGGGCCCCGCAGCAGGAGAGGCCACAACAGTGAGAGGCCCACATACCGCAAAAAAAAAAAAAAAAATAATGAATCCCTTCATTTCCTTGAAATTCCTATGATTTGCTTCATATATACTCCTTTGAGTGTCTTCTACATACAGTGTTAGGTACTTCCTTATGTACTCTCTGAGTGTCCATGTACCCTACATGAAATTGGGATAACAAATGTGCCTACATCAAGCGTAAAGACTGGATGGAGTAATTAGCACAATGTCTGGCATTTAGCTCAGGCTCGATAAGTACAAGCTGTAATTGTAATAATTACCTTTGGGCCCTGACAATGCTTTTAACTCTATGGGTTGGCCGTATTGTCTCACTTTTTCACCCCTTGCAGCTTTACCTGCCCTTTCCAAAATTAGATTGTGAGACTGGCCAGGATATTAACTTGTTTTCTATATTCAGCCTTTAGGACTTGTATGATGAACAAATAAACTTGCCCATCTTCAATATTACCCATATCATTCTTCTCCAGTTGAACGTATTATGATTTTCCTGGAGAGGAGATGAAGGGAGGAAGGACCCTGACACGTATCGGTGGAAGGCAGAATCTCCAAACAAAATCCAATTCTCAAAACTTTTTATTTGGACAAAGAGGTTCCAGGATCAGAAGAAATTTTTTGTTTAATGCCCAAACTGGAAACTATCCAGGTGTCCTTCAACAAAAGAGGAGGAGGAAGGAAACTGTGATATATTTGTAAAATAGATGACTGGTCAGCAATGAAAAGGAATAAGTTATCATACACCCCACAGCATGATGATTCTCAAAATAACATTATGCTGAGTAAAGAAGCCAGACCCAAAAGACTACATACTGAAGAACTGCATTTATAAGAAGTTCTAGAAAGGCACAACTAACTCATGGTGATATAATCAGGGGCGTTAGTTACTTGAGCATAGGCATTTGTCAAAACTGAACTGTGCATTTCACTCAAGGTAAATTTTATCTCAGTAAAACAAATTAAAAAAATAAAATCCAAGGGCTTCCCTGGTGGCACAGTGGTTGAGAGTCTGCCTGCCGATGCAGGGGACACGGGCTCGTGCCCCGGTCCGGGAAGATGCCACATGCCGCGGAGCGGCTGGGCCCGTGAGCCACGGCCGCTGAGCCTGTGCATCCAGAGCCTGTGCTCCGCAACGGGAGAGGCCACAGCAGTGAGAGGCCCGCATACCACAAAAAAAAAAAAAATAATAAAATAATAAATAAATAAATAAAATAGAATAAGATCCAATATCTTAGAAGGAAAAGACATGGTGAAGTAAGAAGACTTAGCTACCTATTGTGAAATGTATGCCCACAGTAACAGTTATGTGATATATTGTTTTATAACAACAGTGACTAGTAGTTTAGTATGTAAATAAAGAGGGATAGAAGGGAAAATGGTTAGAGGAACATTCCTCTAAAAAAATAAACATACACTTACTTTAATTAGCCTGGCCATAATGGTTACAGACTCCTGACTTTGACTTTTATGTAAGCCGAAGCATTGCTGGAACCCACGTTCCTTTCTTCTCCCTCATTTACTTCCATTTATTTTGCAGAACTCAGCATGGAAACCAAACTGGGAGTCTGCCCAGATCTAACAGGGAAAAGTTGTTAACCTTTCCGACTTTTTCTTCATAGTAAAATGAGGGAGCTTAACACAAGGATTCTAAAATACCTCCAGTCCCTAAGATTCACCTTCTTAAGTAGATTATCAGGACCTTGAACTTGGACCCTGATTAATAACATACTTAGTTAATACAATCTGAAAAAATAAAGTGCATTTACAAGGTAAAGTATAACCTGTTTGCCTCAGCAACGCATAGGGTTTTTACTTCCTGGTGGCGGTAAGCATGCTTGGCCCTTTGAAAGATGACCTACTCTTTCCTTTAGGAAAGCAAACCAGATATTTGAAAGTTGATTTTT